GTTAATCCCTTGATTCGGCCAGACCTATTATTATATTATTGACTTATTGAAAAAGACTTGAGTGCCCTTCTTTAAGTAAGAGGCACTCGAMCTAACATAACAGTACACATCAGCATTCTCAACAAGTACAAAGACTGAAATACCCCTTCACTAACACCACTAACAGCTAGAATTCAACATTTTCTTTTCTTATCTATAAAGTATTACTTGTATGATGAGTTAAGTGTTCTTTCATTGTCACATGTCATAAAAAAGTGTTCTTCGTCGTTATTATGTCAGAAGTTGAAATTTGTCACCGAAGATATTAATTGATGCCTTTATGATGGCAGGCATTGATGTTGGGCATCAGTTTTTTTCACGAGCTGAAATGGTTGCTATAGGTTTCCACAGCCACTGGCTGAATGGCATTGATTACATGGGAAATTCCTATAGAAAATTGGTAATGTGTCTAATAGATATTTGTGCAATTATTATTAGAAAGGAAAAAAGGTTCTATAATCTACTTCTCATTTATATCACTTATTATTTCTGCATTTCTTAGTTTTATGGATGAAATGAGCTCCTTTGCTTAAGTTGTCTAGGCTCAGAAGACATGAAACAGTCATTACTATTAATCTAACAAGATTCCTTCCAGAAGAGCCATGTTGAATAATAGCCCCAAGAAACAGTTTTTTTTTTTTTTATATTTTTTCAAATGTGTAATCAGTTGGACTCACTGGAATGATGTGATAGAGAATATGTAGGAGAGTCTTGAACCAGCTTCTAGGATATGGCTAGAGATTTCCTTCTCTCTACCCCACAAAATGGATTTATATGCAGTCCATGTGGAAAATTTTCTTTTTAGAGGACTCTGTTATTCTTCTGGTTTGGTTTACTTAGGGCAGTGGAGATTTTGCATTCAGAAAATAACCATGGATTTAAAGTCTTGAACTGCTTTGATTTGACTCAACTAAGAATTGCACTAAAATTGGAGAAAACCAGTAACTTGGGTATTTTCTAGCCAATCAAAATTAGAGAAAAGCAGACATTCCTGTTGCATCCTCTTCCTTTGGGGTTCTTGGCACAAAGAGATTTTACTTTGATAGGATAGCAGTGCAAGACAAAATTCTGACACTAGATCATGTGAATATAGCCTTAAATGCCAACTCTTTGGGTTGGCTACGGAGATGCTCTTTTAACATAATTACCAATCAACTAAAAGAGTTAAGTTTGTAGTTAAATTTCACATTTCTTATATTAAATAGAGAAAGGTTGATTAAATTTTAATTCTGTACTTATCAAGACCATTGGACACTTGGGCAGAACTAGGTGGAGCCAATGAAACCAATGTATATCATGAGTAATTGTTTAAATTTCTGTATATGGCTGTTTTGCTCTTATAAAATTACTTTACCTTTTCCAAATTAAAATAATTATAGAAGCTAAGCAAAATAGTTGCATTAAAAATTAATCACTAGATTTTGTAATTGCAAACAGGATTTGTGTATCTCTTTTGGAATTAATTCTGTATTAGGACAGGTTGAATCAACTCATTATGCTGCTAATCAGTTGACCTTACAAGCAAACTCAGTACATTTGACCAAGTATAGATCTAAAGAAGGAACTAATAAAAAAGAAGGTTGCTTTAAATTCTTAAAAGAATAGTTTTCAACTTGGTTCAACGAAAACTTATATCAACTTTAGCTTAAAAGTATTAAAATGCAGAATTAAATTATTATATCTGCTTCTAATGGTGGCATCTGTTTTTTTGGATCATTAAAAGAAAATATTTATTGATAAAGGAAGGGTGCCTTTACATTATTGAGTAGCCTCGGCTACCCCTTACAACAGAAGACAGAAAAACTCCAATAGTTTTGCTTTTCTATGTTACAGCTGTGCCCAAAACACTTGTTCTCTGTTCACCCCTTGTTTTTCCAACTGATCGGCTAGGTTGTCGGCTGACCTTGGAACCCACTGAATTAATAACTACAGGTGTTTTGACAGTTTTCTAAATTTTTTCATCTTTTTTCTTGTAGAGAGATTGGGTTGAATGGGCCCTGATGATGCGCAATCCGGCCGGTCTTAGTTGTCAGCGATCTTGCCTCTGAACCGAGTAACAGGGAACCTGAAACGGAGGAGATGAGGAAGCTCCGGGGAGGACCC